CTTTGAAAAGAAATTGCAAGTAGGGTTTGAGTTCCTAGTTATTGCATTAACACGCCTTTCATATTATAGTTCATATGTTTCTTATTTCTTGTTTTGTGGTTTTTTTTATATTTTTACTCTAGCCCATTAATAACATGTTATGGATAAAACATAATTGAAATGGTGATTTAACATGTGAAAATTATTATGTTCTATATCCTTAGGCATATCACATTTGCTCGTAATCCCACTTAAGTAACAATTGTAAAATACATCTGACAGAAAATAACTGTGGTATTGGAATCAAGGCAAGGCAAGGGAAGGCAGAGGCTATTAAAATTGCACTGCATTCTTCTCTAAAGATAACATTCTCCAGACCTATGCTTTTGAGTTATATGGCTTCCTATTTATTTACTGGGAGAATGTTGATAAAACGTGTCCACTGCCAAAGCTCCTGGGCAAGTGCACAAAATTTAATATATGGTTTTTACCCAAAAAGTCAATTAAGGTAACCTACCCATCAACCCACTAACAGCAACCTCCAGGCAAAAGCCTGTTAAAAGATGAGTCTTGGATTGTCTTAAAAGTCATCACATTCTGTTACTGTCAGAGAAGTGGAAAAAGTGAGTCAAGGGCCTTTTCCTGACTGAGAATACTATGTCACTAGATCCCTGATGACTAAATCTGGGGACTATTAGCTGATACACTTGAGCTGACTTCAGCTGTTATGTTGGTACATGGGGAGAGTGGCAATCTCTTAAGTAATCAGGAAAACCCAGACAAAGCTCTGTAGACCAAAGTCAGCACCTTACTTTCTGGTTCAAATGTAATAGGAAACCAGTATAGCTGATGTTAACATGCTGTCTGCAGCTAATATTGCTAAGCAGTTGGACAGACTCATGCCTCATTAGCTGAAGCGTCTAAGTGGTCTTCAAGGGGAGTCCCATGATAAAGTTCATTGCAGTAATCCATTCGAGAAGAATCAAAGTCATGGCTTTGATAACTGCGGCAAAATCTAGATGTGACATATTCACTATCTAGCCAGGGGCATTCAAAAAATTCACTTGGTATGCCACTTGAGATTCCAGAGCTAGTTGAGGATCCAAATGCATCTCAAATGCAGCCTCTTGAATATAATGTGAAAAAAATCTCAATAATAGAGGGAAACATCTTCCCTGCTACTCTGTCAAGATCTTCCTTTTCAGGCTTCTAAGAAATAGATTTACTTAAATTGGTACAACTTATGTGTGCAGATAAGGCCTAAGATGCCCTAAGTATGCAGTTGGGACACAGTTGTTTTCTTCTTTTTAACTGAATTGTAATGATGAGGTCACTAGCTTCAACTTCCTGGACACCACGATTAGCTTCAACAATGGAACCCTAAAGACAACTATATACAAGAAACCGCTGGATCACTACACCTACCTTCATAGATCTCGTAACCATTCCCAAACACATCAAAAAATCTGTTCTCTACAGCCATGCACTCATGTACCACAGAATATGCTTCGAGAAGAAAATCCAAGGATATACACCTTAACACACTCAAAACCACCTTCACCGAAGAAGGACACTCCACCAGAGAAGTAGATTGCATCATATAATGGCCCACCCAAATACCCCAAGAGAACTTGCTTCAATACAGAAATAGAACCCCTTCAGACCACACACCCCTAGTTGTCACCTACCCCTCGACACTGGAACCATACGGAGTATCATCTAACTACTAAACCTATACTCGATGGGGACCCCATCCTGAAAGAAACCTTTCCTGAACCCCCACTTCTGGGCTTCAAACAACCTCCCAGCCTCTCCAAGCTCATCATCGGAAGCAAGCTCCCCACAGAGCAGGATAAATGAACTCAAAGGAGCACCAGACCCTGCCAGAACAACAGATGCAAAACCTTCAGACATATCTCCAGTGCTACAATGATCGACGCTCCCCACAATACACCTTTCAAAATCCATGAGTCCCACACATGCCTGTCACAACATGTGGTGTATTTCATCCAGTGCACTAAATGTCCCAATAACAACTATGTGGGTGAAACAAGACAATCACGATGCTCTCAAATGAACTCACACAGGAAAATGATAAATGAAAAACACACCATATCATCTGTGAGTGAACGTTTTTCATAAAAAGCAGTCACTCCTATATCTAACCTTTCATATGCAAAGGAAACCTGCACAACACTTTCAAAAGATGAGCATGGGAGCTTAAGTTCATAACTTTGCTAGACATTAATAATCATGGTCTTAATAAAGACACTGGACTTGTGGCTTATTACAACAATCTGCAACCCACTAACACCCACTTTTTGTCCTATGACTATAAGGGTGTTAATGGGCCACTTCACCTCGAATGGTCCCTTAAAATATGTGCTAACTACTTATGCTAAACTATCTTTTCAATCTTGTATTTAGCTGTGACACTTAGTATGGACAGGTGTACGTTACAAATTTACATCGAGGCAGCCGCCCCTGTAGCGTCTGGTGAAGATGATCTAAGCTGAAAATAACTCCACCTCCATGAGAGGTGGTAGCTATGTCAGCGGGAGAAGCTCTCCCACCGACATGGCACTGTCTGCACAAGGGGTTACGGTCGATATAACTACATCGCTCAAGGCTGTGGATTTTTCACACCGCTGAGTGACACAGTTATACTGAAGTAAGGAGACCAAGCCTACCTTTCCCAGACCTGAAGAAGAGCTCTGTGTAAACTCAAAAGCTTGTGTCTCTCACCAACAGAAGTTGGTCCAGTAAAAGATATTACCTCAACCACTTTATCTCTCTAATATCCTGGGACCGATATGGATACAACAACACTGCATACATTCTTAAATAAGTCCATCTTCAGAATAGGGCATTTCCTGCAGGTTGGACTAGCTGCAAAAACTAGGGCCACCGCCGTCACCTGATCTATCCAAGCACGCACCTGGACAAAGACCAGCTAAAATATGAAAAGCACTATCTAATTTTATGTCACTGATGTCTGACTGATTAACAACTGGTAGTGCTTTGAATTTAATAAAATATAGCTTTGGATCTCTATTTATCACATCCCCAGAATCATGAATGAAAACCTCAGGAAGGACCATAAGGCGTAGATTAAAAGATGTGTACAGTCTGCTCTGTGCCATATTACCTGTCTTCCCAGACATTTATAGCCCCATGATTGTCTCCAAATATACTGACCAGCAACACCTTGCCAATATGACATGGTCTTGAGTGGAAAGCATGCTCCAAAGCTGGGATGAATCATAAAGCAAAATGAAAAGGATGTTGCCAAACCTAATCTATTGGATTGGCAGAGTTACTTGGGTAATCTCACTCCTTACACACACACACACACACACACACACACACACACACACCCACCCACCCATCAAGCCACTGAAATAGGTAATCGCAGATCTGACCGTACCTGTGGTTGGGCCATTCCTAACAAAATTCCACCCATCTTAAGTGAATGTCTATAACTGAACATCTTTCCTAACCCACCAAGACTTCTCTGGTAAATTGGAAATCTTTTTTTGTAATGAAAAAATCTATTGCATCCATCCAAGGGGATTATAAAATAGCCCAGATATTTTTCATTTCATCATATTATACTCTGTTCTAAAATTTGCCTGAAATATAAATAGACCTCTAACCTTCACTTAATTCTGTGAAATTGCACCCTTTTGTACCAGGTTTGAATTTGTCACTTAAATTTGAAGGTCTTTTGGCCCCTGTAGTTTATTTTGGCCATATGTACGATTCAATTACTGATCTGTAAAAGTGACAAGTGAGAGTGCTCACTGTCTTCTTTCTGTAGGTCATTCTGATCCCATTTTTGCAATGGTTGAAGTCAGTTGAACCCTTAAATTACCTTAATCACTCCAACGTTCATTTTGGGGGAAAACAGGAATCTGTAAAGGTCCTTTATGAGAGGTTTTTCTGGCGGTTCCTGTTTCCCAGAAACTGAAGGTCCCCAAAAATAAGGTAAGGATTTTAAAATATTGACATTCTAAATTTTCCTTACCTTACTTTCTCAATTCCAAACTGTTTTTATAAAGATGGAATTGGAAAGCCTGCCAGCAGCTGAGTACGAACTTTCACTTGTCACTTTCAGTGCTCAGCAGTCATCCAGCTTCAGAAAAATGCGAGTTTGCCAAAACTAGCTACAGACTCTCTTCAAAAGAGTTATTTTAAACTCTTTTTGAAGATATAAATATTTGTTAAACACCTGGTACTCTTATTTCTCTGTTGATTGAAGGTATTTTGCCATTGACCTTGTAACACACAATTCACTAAAAGTTGATTGTCATTGTTCTTATGTACAGAGATTATAAAAGATAATCAACTATATATAACAAAGCTGCTGTTCTATCTATTGATTTTAGCTCCAGTATAAGACGCTAAGGTAAACTTTACAGTGTCTTTCTAATGTCACCAGAACTTCTAGATGAAACTATAACCTCTTTTATACAGACATGATTTTAAAGCTCTATTTGGAATTTTAAATTTTATCTTATAAAAATTCCAATATTATTGGTTAGAGATGAGTTATTTGAATTTCGTAGAGATATGAAATCTTAATCAAATGGTCTTCTGAAATTATCAAAGTATAAAATTTACTTTATTTCTTCGCTATGTGGACGGTTACAAAACACCTATCAATTTTTAGTACTCAGAGAGCTGTCCAATATACTAGATGACTAGGATGTCTGTTTTACCCCTTATCTTGAAGTGTTGCATTAATTGAAGACCTCCCACATTTTCACCTCTTGCTGAGATCCCATTTAAGAGCTTGTCTTTATTAATTCCCTGATTCACTTACCTGAATAGTTGTTTATAGTAGTATCAGCTAATTGCAGAGAAGGTTATTGTACCTTTTTTTTTTATTCTGAGGGAGGAGTGGAAAAGCTAAATCCTGCTTAAAATAGAAGGTTAAAGTCCAGTGTATTTTCTTAATCTGTGAAGTCACAAAAATTAATTTAGAGTACATTTTGACATATTTTTTTAACCTCCCCCAGAATGTTCAACACAGAAAATATGCCAGATGGAAGGCAGCATATATTCATAATTGTCTAAAGAATGGAGAGACTCCTCAACCTGGACCTATTGGAATGGAAGAGGAAGATTATGGTATGTACATTGCTATTTCAAATAAAGTAATAACAACAGGTTGGATGGGCTAGTGAATTAAAGTGAATATTGTTATATATGTTTCTCCAAAGGGAACTTAATATCACTTTCCTGCTTAGGTGAATGTTTCACAGTAATTTTCTGTTTTTCTTTTCTGTGCCAGACATCTTTATGTTTTTCATTGGACTTTTCTCTTGACTGGCAGCACTAAAAAAAATCTTGCTTGTATATGGAATGTTGTGATTTTGGATAAGTGTCAACTATAAAATAAATAAGGATAATGAAACTCATTTCATAAATGTCTCAAGATGGAATTTAATAGTTTTCAGAAGCAAAAGGCCTGGTAAATTAATCCACTATACCACATACCCTCTTTGACTCTAAGGGTACGTCTACACTTACATCCGGATCCGGATGTAAGCAGTCGATGTTCTGAGTTCAATTTATCGATACCGGATCGATCCCGGAAGTGCTTGCCGTTGACGCTGGTACTCCAGCTCGGCGAGCGGAGTATGCAGCATCGACGGGGGAGCCTTCCTGCCGCGTCTGGACCGCGGTAAGTTCGGACTAAGGTACTTCGAATTCAGCTATGTTATTAACGTAGCTGAATTTGCGTACCTTAGTCCGAAGTGGGGGGGTTAGTGTAGACCAGGCCTAAGGCTGAAAGGTAGTCAAGTAGCAATGTAAAGTTCTGAATCTGTTGGTACAGGATGTGTACTAAGGTTTTGGGCTCTATACCTGGCTCTGCCATAGACAATATAGTTCTTTTATGAAAAGTGATTCTAAAAATATTAACTCTAGACTTATGTGCTTCAATTTAATTTAAAATGTATTAAGCATTAGGCGATAGACATATACTATTGTGGATCTGATTCTCAACCTTTCTGATCCATGATCTCATGCTTTGGAGATCCCCTTCCCATCTAATCAAAGAAAAGGAAGGATGGGCACGACTTCCTGTTTGAGAAGAGATCAGACTATTGGTCCTTCAAATACGATATGCTGCTTGAGGTAGTGGCAACGAGCTGATGCCATGGAGAAAAACAGAAAATAGGAACATAAGAACTGCCATACCAGATGAGATCAGTGGTTTGTTTAGTCGAGTTTCCTATTGTGAACAGTACTAGATGCTTCAGAGAAAGGCGCAAGAAATGCTGTAGTAGTGGTCATAGAATAATCTGCTCTCAGGGAACATTTCTTCCAAGTTCTCTTGAGTAACAGATTGGCTTATGCCCCGAAATCTGAGAGCTTATCTCTCTTCCAAAATACATGTGTGCCAGAGTTGTACAAGGAAAATGAGATGAGTGATACATGTAGAAATCAGCAGATATCCTATTGCATTTTTTAGACTGATACCTCTGGGTATCCATTTTTTTAAATAATCTTTTGTAGTTTACACCTTACTTGGTACTGTTTATGGTGTTTGCAGGCTTTCTATTTAAAAAAAGAACAGGAGTACTTGTGGCACCTTAGAGACTAACAAATTTATTAGAGCATAAGCTTTCGTGGGCTACAGCCCACTTCATCAAATGCATATAGTAAGAAATATATATACATACAGAGAACATGAAAAGGTGGAAGTAGCCATACCAACTGTAAGAGACTAATTAATTAAAATGAGGTATTATCAGCAGGAGAAAAAAAAACTTTTGTAGTGATAATCAAGATGGCCCATTTTAGACAGTTGACAAGAAGGTGAGAGGATACTTAACATAGGGAAATAGATTCAGTATGTGTAATGACCCAGCCACTCCGTCTCTATTCAAACCCAAGTTAATGGTATCTAGTTTGCATATTAATTCAAGTTCAGCAGTTTCTTGTTGGAGTCTGTTTTTGAAGCTTTTCTGTTGCAAGCCACCTTTAAGTCTGTTACTGAGTGACCAGAGAGGTTGAAGTGTTCTCCTACTGGTTTTTGAATGTTATGATTCCTGAATGTGATATGATTCCAGGCAAAAACCAGTAAGAGAACACTTCAACCTCTCTGGTCACTCAGTAACAGACTTAAAGGTGGCAATTTTGCATTGTTTGTATTAGTTATTTTTAAACTACTCTCTAAAATGATTGTGACTTACTTTACTATGCAGTCTACTTATTAGCTTTTATACTTTTAAAAATAGACATGAATAGGGCCATCTAAAGGACTGTAGCTGCAAATTATAAGTTTTATACCATAGAAATATATTCCTGAGAACACATGTAAGTTAAATTCATAAATATTTATGTGAATTGATATTTAATCATATTTCAGTGTGTTTACCAGATTATTAGTTTATCCTAATTATTATAAATGTTTCATAGTAGTATATTTTTTCCTACCAAAGGAACCCAAAGCACTTTACAAACACTGGAATCACTACACTCACCACTGAAATGCAGTTGCCTCTGAGCTGGAGCACAGCATCCAGTTGCTACAATGCACAAGTTTAGAAACTGTATTCTTATGTAGTTCTGTAGAATTAAGCCTTGTCTAAAACTGAGGTTTTTAGCCACTGGTGCAGCTATGCTCATGTAGTTGTACCAATGCAAACTCCTAGTGCAGCTGTAGTGCCCCTGGGTAAACTATGACTTTGAATCAGTGCAACTTACTCCAGTTTGACATGCACTTCTTAGTTAGCTGAAAAATGTTGTTAAAAGAACTATTGTGAAATGAGTTCATTTTTATTATCAATATATTATAAATGTGCAAATATAGAAGTCTGTAAATTAAAGAATTTGTTTTTATTCAAATTCATAACTGTAGTGATCGTCCACAGATTCTTGTAAAATTGAATCTTGTAAAATTGTATGAACGCTAAGCAAAGTCTAGTACTACTACTACTATTAAAACTTGCATATCACTTCTAATCTTCAAAACCTTGTACAAATATTAATTTAGCCTTAGAATGAGGAGTGTATTATGCCTCTTCATTTTACAGACTGGGAAACAAGCAAAGATAAGTGACTTGCCCAAGGCCACAGAACCTGTCAGAGGAGAGATTAGAATTCAGTAGTTTTTCACTCTTACTATTGTGCTAAAACCACTACTTTTCACTCCATATCATAACCAGGGGCTTTAGGAAAAAATGAAAATTGCAACTCTCATTGCCAGGGTTATAAGTAAAAGTAAACTAATGGGGATAGTATTTTTGGTTATGATATACAAATGAAAGCATCGCTATTCAAAGTGAGCCTGCAGTATGTATTTTTCATAATCAACAGGCTATATTTTTTTGTTTGAAAAGTTTTATTTTGTTCGATAAGGCATTACTCTTTTAGGCATTAATGCCATATTGTATTTTTATGTATGGGCAATAAAATGACAAAATACTTTTTTTCAGGGGATTATTAACATTGTACCAGATGTGGCATACATGCCATAACATTTTGAGCATTGTAGAGCCAAAGATCATATGCAAATAGATTTTTCAGTAGAATATTCTGGAAAAAGAACTTGTCATAATTCTTGCTTTGTTCATCCCAGAAAGAAAAGCAGCATTGTTTAAACATACTGCTGAACTTTCCCCATTCCTTTCGGCTTGCTCACTTTCTTCCTCCTCTTGTGAATGAAAAAGTACATGTTTAAATAGAATGAAACTAGCCATCTCCAGCTTAACAAATTACCAGATTTTCCATAAGCGTTGTGCTCCCTGTGATTCTTGAAAACCATACTGTAAGTCTTGGAGATGTTTATACAGTAACATAGGCGTTCTCTATGTAATTGTGCTCTTGGATTTAGTAGAGGCTTTTGTCAGTATGCTACAAGACCATGGAAACTTAAAATGACACAGTTGATTTATTAATGTGGTTAGAATACATAGAGTACACATGAAGGTTACTCAGGAGTACCCTGGGGTCAGCTACTAAATTTTTATACCAGTCAAGAAAAACATAGATAAATAAAAAAATCCTAAATGGACAAAGTCTCAAGATACTAAAATACATGAACTATTGGCATTGATATTAGAGAGTTCCAAGGAACCTTTACAGTCCTCATAAGAATAAGGAGCAATTTGTAGAAGCAATAAACTTTAACTCTCCAGACGGGGAGGTACTGAAGCACCCTTCTTACCTGACTTGAGGAAAGTATGGGTTTTAAATGTTTTTAGAATCATAGTTTGCAGGAAATTGGAGTGAAATGGTACACCAGGATAAGAAAATGAAGTGATATGGAAACTGAAATTACTACATGATCAGTTGGAAAGAGGAGACAGTCTTTAGAGTTCTAGTCTGGAGTTCCTGACACCTCAGAAATATGGTTTCTATGCCAATATTCAGTATGATATTCTAAGCTGTATTCCATATGATATTTTAATTTAAAAGTTGTTGGTATTGTGTGTCAGAATGATTACGGTAATGTTCCAGATTTCTGTTACTTTTATGATCTGCTTTAAATATAGGATCACTACCTTCAAAGCAGAAAGTTATTTGTTTATATTTGCCAATATGAAATACCCATGGAATTGTTGCTGTCACTATGTATAAAAGTAGTTTAAACACTGTGTGGCAATAAAAATGTGACTGTTAAAGATGGCAAATATAGAATGATAGTATTTCATTCACATTGGCTCTAGAACTGTAAATATATTGTTTTGGCTATAGATATTGACAACAAAATTAGAAATATAAATATTAGATAGCTTTAAACAAGGTTTTTGTAAAACTCCAGAAGTCCTAATATTTACCTTTTGAATTGCCAGTTGTTAAAAAGAAAACTATAAAATTGAAGTGTGAAGAGTGTAATTGTTTTATTACATAGTTTTTAAACTTTCTTTGCCATACTACAAATGTTTTAAACTTAGATTGTTATTGGTGTCTTTTGAGAAACGAATCATTTAATTTTACTAGTATTGATTTACTGCTACTCTGAAACCTGTAAAAGATTTGTATTTCTTAATGATGTTATGGTGTGTTCAGATCTCATACTTAAAACAGTTTCTTGAATGAAAAATTCTGATCCAACATCTTAAAAATAACTAATTGTTTATCTCTTGTATCAACTACTTTTCAATCCTGTGCAATAA